ATTTGATGATGAATTATATCTAGAATACATCAAGTACTCATAACTCAATAATAAAAGACACCCAATTTAAAAATGGTCAAAAGGTCTAAATAGGCTTTTTTTCAAGGAAGATACATAGGCGGCCAATAAACACATATTAATATGCTCAATATCAATTTCCCCATCAGGGAGATGCATTTCAAAATCACAGTAGACTACCACTTCATACTCATAGAAATAGCTATAACTTAAAAGCAAAACATAAAAGACAGAGAATAACAAGTGTTGCCAAGGATGTGGAGCAATTGGAACTCTCATTCACAAAAACTTAAATATTTATAAATGTTCATATTCACAATAGTCAAAAGTAAAAGCAACCCAAATGTCCATCAACTGATGGCTGAATAAATAAGATGTGATATGTTTACACACAGGAATATTATTCAGCAATAAAAGGAAATGAAGTACTGATACATGCTAAAACATGGATGAAACTTGATAACATTATGCTAAGTAAAATAAACCAATAACAAAAGGCCACATAGTTTATGACATTATTTATTTTAAATTTCTAGAATAGGTAAAGCTATAAGAGATGGGAAGTAAATTAGTGGTTGCCTTGGCTGGAGGTTAGGAGGGAAATGGGAAATGACTGTTAATAGGTATGGGTTTTCTTTTTGGGTGGATGAAAATGCTCCAAAATGGATCATTTTAATGGTTATACAATTCTGTAAGTATACTAAAAAGTATTGTGTTATATACTTTAAATGGGTGAGTGTAAGGTATGGGTAGAAGGTTGAATAATGACCCTCAAAGATATTAGATCCTAATCGCTGGAATCTGTCAATATTACCATATATGGGAATAGAGTCTTTGTAGCTGTGATTGAGTTCAGGCAGCAATTTTCAACCTTTTTTCATAAACTAATTACTAAAATTTTGTGGCACACCCCAAAATATATTTTTTGCCAACCTGACAAAAAGAAATAGGTATAATTTTGATTCATTCAGCTCAGATGTCTATTGTTGTATTAGCTGTTGTCATTTTTTTAATGTGACAATCTAAGGGAAAAGAGGTCAATGCCCCTGACTTAAATAGTCAGGTATTGCATGTTTTAAAAATTCTTGCAGCTCACCAGTGTGCCCCTTGAGCTGTGGCACACCAGTTGAAAATTGCTGAATTAAGGCATTTGGGATGGGGAAATTATCCCGGATTACCTGGTTGGGCTGTAAATGCAATCATACATGCCCCTGTAAAGGGGAAATTTCTCACACAAAAGAGGAGGCCTTGTGACCACAGAGGCAGAGATGGGTGATGTGGCCATAAGTCAAGGGATACAAGCGGCCACCGGAGGCAGGAAAGGGCAATTCTCCACTATACCCTCTAGAGAGAGTGCAGCCCCACCAATTGGAACCTTGATTTTGGCCCAGTGGTAATTATTTGGGGCTTCTGGCTCCTCAGAACTGTGAGAGAATGCATTTCTGATTTTTTTAAGGCACCAAATTCATGGATATTTGTTATAGCAGCCATAGAGAAATAAGTAGTTTGTGAATTATTTCTCAATAGAGCTGTTATCAAAAAAGTTTTAATATTGCCACAATTATTGTGGTTTTTTGTTCATTTACTTTATATTTATTTTTTTAATTTTTAAGTGTTTTTTTGAATTTTACTTATTTATCTTTAGAGGGGAAGGGAAGGAGAGAGGGAGAGAAATATCAATGTATGGTTGCCTCTTATTTGTCCCCTGCTGGGAACTGGCCTGCAATCCAGGCATGTGCCCTGACTGGGAAATGAACCGTGAACCTTTGGCTCACAGGCCTGTGCTCAATCCACTGAGCTACATTACCCAGGGCCCATTTACTTTATATTTCTAATGTATTTATATATTCTATTATAATTTCTATAAACTCATTAGATTTAAAAGTGTCCTATCATCTTTATTAATTTTAAATTTTACAAATATAAAACCTTAACACTTATAAATATAAGAAAGTCTTGGTTCCATTAAATTATTTTAAATTTTGAAACCTGCTCAGTTTTGTTTAACTGCTTATTTTCATTATCATGTATTCCTTCAACAATTCTCCTAATTTCATTTTTTTTTTGTTATTTTATATTAGGTATTTTACCTATGAAAATAGCATTTTTTTTCAATTAATAAAAATCACCAATCATAAGACAGACAGTAAGGACAAATTTTGGGGGTTGGAGAAGAGAGGAAAATATTATTTCATTAAATGTATACATTGATTGTAAGACTCATCTTTTAAAAAATACTCTATTCAGGTATGGTGGACATGTAAAAATCTGTACACATTTAATACATACAATTCAAGGGTTTGGAAATAAGTATAAACCCATGAAATCATCATCACCCAGGCCATAGACATCCCCATCACCTATAAGATGCATTTTGATTTTAGAAGTGCAAAAAAACCCTGTTCATCTCAGCACTAAGGAAATAGGAAATATGAAAAGGTCTCCAATCACATGGAAGAACTGAAGATGTTACATTTTAACATGACATTGCTAGAAAAGATCTCCCTCTCTCTGCAAATTGGGAAAACTGAGAGTTCATTTTTAAAACATTACTCTGGTAATAATCCTCTTAACTTAAAAAAATTTACTCCAATGATGTTATTTTGGCATTTATATGTAGGATAGGAGGTCTGAAATACACTTGTTCTCAATTGAACAGGGTTGAGAAGTCACACCATAACTAATCTTTTCATTGCAGTCTGGCAAATTGAATTGCCTTTCTTAAGAAATATGAAAAGACAATGAAAAAATGATGGCTCTGTCAACAGCAGATAAGGTAATTAGAGACCACGTGGAACCAGGATTTTCTCACCAATTCTAGGTAATTTACCAGGGAAACATTGAAAAGATTTTTACTGGAAATTGTTGTATGTTATTTGCAGCTGAGTTTTTTTTAAAAAGGAAAGCCTCTTTTCTATTCTTCTGGTTTTGATTTATCTGATACCAACAGAATAATTCATGCATTAAAACACACACATTCTTTTCCTGGCTGGTGTGGCTCAGTGAATTGAGTACTGGCCTGCAAACCAAAGGGTTGCCAGGTCTAGTCCCAGTCAGGGCACATGCCTGGGCTGTGGGCCAGGTCCCCAGTAGTGGGCATGTGAGAGGCAACCACACATTGATGTTTCTCTCCCTCTCTTTCTCCCTCCCTTCCCATCTCTAAAAATAAATAAATAAAATCTTTAAAAAACACACTTACATTCTTGAGGAAATTCATATCATAGAGAATACTCTTCTTTCTGGCAAAATTGAATTTACATACATGCTGAAAAATTTCAGTAATTCAAATTTTGTAAAATATTCTACTTTTATTTTCCATTGGAAAGAAGAAAGGAATGATGAAAATTAACTACATGTAAAAGAAAGGTTTTTCAATAAATAGAGTGGTATATTTGGTTAGTCATTTTAGGGGAAAAATGAAGTTAGATTTTCTCTTAATTATTTATCAAAATAATTTTCTAATTAATTAAAAAATAAAAAGAGCTAGAAAAAATGGGTGGATATTTAACTCTCTTGGGAAGGAAAAAAGCTTCTAAGCATAGGAAAAGTGGGAAAGACCTCAAAAAAAATCAATAGATTTCTTTACATAAAAATTAACAAAAGACCTGGCTGGTGTAGCTCAGTGGATCAAGAGCAGGCCTGTGAACTAAGGGATCGAGGTTCAATTCCCACTCAGGGAACATGCGTGAGTTGCAGGCCAGTTCTCAGAGAGGGACACACGAGAGGCAACCATACACTGATATTTCTCTCCTTCTCTCCTTCCCTTCCCCTCTAAAGATAAATGAATAAAATCTTTTAAAAAATTAACAAAAAATTTCTGTGAGTTAGAAAACATCTTAAAACAATTTTAAACAATTGAGAGACCTTGAAAAATACTGGGTTGGTGAGTTTGATTTAGGTAAGGCAGTGGTTCAGAGTCTTATTTAGATAAGATGGACTCATAATCAGGGGAAGATATGAACAACTTTGGCTCTGTGACTAATGGGTACAATACAGAATGTAAGAAAACACAGGATATAACTAAGAAAGGATTGCCAAACTCTTATCTATGTGGTAAGCATTTCAAGAAAGATTTCAGAAATCCTTCACATAGAACCCTGTAACTCTATGTAGCACATAGTCATCACCATCAACGGAGCGAGGGTACAGGAGAGCAGAAGGAGAAAGTCACCATGACTCTGGAACTCAGAGAAAAACATGGGGAATTAGCAGAAAGAGATGAAAAAATAAATAAAAACAGGCTATAGAAGATTTAGGACTCTGGTACCGTTAAATTCCTTCTTTTGTTTATTCCATTACAATAGAATCATACTTTCTCAGATGCAGTATTATATAGACTTTGAAACCAAACTGCCTAAATGCATATTTCCCCAACTCCACTAGCTGTCAGACCTTAAGTTACTTAACCTTTTTGCACTTCAGTACGTTCATCCATAAAATTAGGGGTAAGATTTCTGAGAGAATTATCTGAGTTAATATACATGACATGGCAAAAATAGATTTATAGTTTTGTATAAGGAAAATAATGCAATAATTAATCAATAATAATACAAAAATAAACTCTGTCTTTTGCATACTCACAATTGTAAACCTACTTTTGCCCCACACTGTATGGATAGCTTAGGACAGTACCTGGCCCGTAGGTAAGTTTTAGATCTCATTATTATTTGTATAGCCGGATTTCACCGAATACTAGAGGCTGGTTCTTCTTGATCTTACCTGAAGGTGACAGTGGAAGTTTTTCACACTTTTACATCATGAGGGCCACCGATTGGAAGAAATTCTAAGATACCTCTAACTGTAAGATGTAACCTAATTTCAGAGGCATTAAAATATTTCAAAATGTACACTTTAGAATTGATAAAATAAGTTATTGCGCTTTTATTTAATTTAATTCTAAGTTTCTGTATATGTGACATCCCCCAAAAGACAAAAACTGGCAAAATAATTTGAGTCAAATAATAAATAATATAACTTCTTACTTCTGTAAATTCCATTTTGTTCAATCTTTGTTCCATCGAGTCAGCAATATTCAACTGCTTGAAACTTGATTCTAATTATGGAATAAAGTTATTTGCTAGTTAGTATGGTTATAATACATTCATGTTTTATATTCATATTATAGTGCTTTAAAAGATGAACATAAAAGTGCTTCTTAATCAATGTCCATCAGTATTTACAATAAAGAAAATGATATATAGTTGGGTAACATTCCAATCACTACAAAATTATCTTTGTTCCTGGCTTTTATTTAACCAAACAACCCAAACACTGAAAAGCAGTGCCTACCTCTTTAATGACAGGTTGAAATAAAACAAAAACGAATATACACATCAATATTATAAAAGACTACACACACATTTCTTTTGTTATTCTGTATATAAATGTGATCATATTGATCTGCAACTTGTTTTTTTCACTTAACCACTTATTTTATAGATCTTTTGAAACAGAATATGGAGCCCAGGGAGAAGGTTTGGGATGAAAATATGGATCAGTCAGCTGAAGCCATGGGTTTGAATAAGAAAAACTAGGAGTACATGTAGTGTATAAAGTGATGACAGCCGAAAAGTAAACTCTGGCAAACAGCACTTAAGGTGTAAAGAAAAGAAGAACTAGGGGAGTTCGGGCCAAGATGGAGGCGTAGGTACAAACCCTTCGCTTCCTCGCACAACCAAAAGGAGGATAACAATCAGCCTAAAATCAATAAACAACCAGAAGTGTCAGAAAATCAAATTGCATGGAAATGGAAGAAAAAAATCAACCAGAACAAGGTGGACTGCACAGGCCTACTCAGAAAAACCTTGGGGAGGCGGCTGAGGATCGGGGCTGACTGCTGAGCTTGGCAGAGCTGTGTGGGAGGGAATGACTTAAGGGGAAAGCTGAGACTCAGAAATGACTCTGGGCTATGGCTGGGGGTGCCACGGGGGGACACTCCCAGTCTGACGTGAGAGTCTATTGGACAGTGCGCTAGAGAAGAGCAGGTGAGCTGCATTATTCCCTCTCTGGCCCCTCCCCCACAGGCTGCGCAGCAGGGAGGGTTGCCCTTCCAGGGTGAATACCTAAGGCCCTGCTCCTTACAACTTATCAGGTGTGCCAAGACAAAGAAATATGGCCCAAATGAAAGAACACAGCAAAACCTCAGAACTAAGGGATGAGGAGATCACCAACCTATCTGATGGAGGGAGAATTTAAAGCCCTGGTAACCAAAATTCTCACAGAACTGATTGAGTTTGGTTGAAAATTAAAAAACAAATGAAAGATACCCAAAATGAAATAAAGCAAAATATTCAGGGAATCAACCGTGACAAAAAGAAAACCAGGATTCAAAGCAATGATTTGGAACAAAAGAAAGAAATTAACATTCATCCAGAAAAGAATGAAGAAACAAGAGTTCAAAAAAATGAGGAGAGGTTTAGGAACCTCTGGGACAACTTTAAATGTTCCAATATCTAAATCATAGGGGTGCCAGAAGGAGAACAACAGCAAGAAATTGAAAACTTATTTGAACAAATAATGTAGGAAAACTTCCCCAAACTGGTGAAGAAAATAGACTTCCAGGAAGTCCAGGAAGCCCAGAGAGTCCCAAAGAAGTTGGACCCAAAGAGGAACACACCAAGGCACATCATCATTAAGTTACCCAAGATTAAAGACAAAGAGAAAATCCTACAAGCAGCAAGAGAAAAGGAGACAGTTACCTACAAAGGAGTTCTCATAAGGCTATCAGCTGATTTTTCAAAAGAAACCTTAAGGCAAGAAGGGGCTTGAAAGAAGTATTTGAAGTCATGAAAGGCAAGGACCTACATCCAAGATTAATCTATCCAGCAAAGCTATCATTTAGAATGGAAGGGCAGATAAATTGCTTCTCAGATAAGGTCAAGTTAAAGGAGTTCATCATCACCAAGCCCTCATTATATGAAACATTAAAGGGACTTATCTAAGAAAAAGAAGATAAAAAATATGAACAATAAAATGACAACAAATTCACAACTATTAACAAATAAATCTAAAAGAAAGTAAAACCAATGAAAACAAAAACAAAGCAAACAACCAGAACAAGAATAGAATCAGAGAAATGGACATCACACAGAAGAAGTTCAGTGGGGAGGGGGAAGAGAGAAAAGTTACAGGGAAGAAGAAGCATAATTAGTAGGCATAAAATAGACAGGGAGAGATAAAAATGGTATAGGAAACAGAGGACTCAAAGAACTTATATACACAACCCATGGACATGAACTAAGGCGGGGGATGCTGGAAGGTTGGGCGGGCAGGGTGGAGGACCGATTAAGGAGGGAAAACTGTAATAGCATAATGAATAAAAAATACTTAAAAAAAGAAGAACCAAGAAACAAAAATACTAAAAGGTGATCAACGATAGAAGAAAAAAATCTAGAGAGAATGATATCACAAAAGCAAAGTAAAAAGTTTCATGAACAACAAGAGTTAAATAATGGTGAATGTGGGAGTTAGTTTGAATAAAGATTTTTTAAACTTCCATTTAATGTGGCAATTATGTGATCCTTATTGACCTTACCAAAACACAAAAAAGCAAATTGTATGAAAGCTCAAGATGAAAGAATTAATACACTGACTTCCTCTCCCTCTTCTAACAGTAATTCCTCCTGACAACCAGGGACTGGTGCATAAAAACATTCTTTGTCACTCTTGATTTTTTAACCGCTTATTACGAGATGTCAGTTATTATCATAAAAAGACTGCATAAACTTTAGCAAAGCTTACCCATTAAATACTATTATCTCCATCCAAGACCTTCCCCCAGGCTCTGGAAGATTATGCAAGCCTGACTAGTTTTGACTAGTAACAGTTGTTATTATATGCATGTGTCTGTCCGCTGGCTGAACTTTGATTGAGCAATTTAAGGGCAGTGGGAACATAACCTTCCTTTTACCATCTACCTCATCACAGTATCTGGAACTAAGTGAGGGCTCAATAAATATTGAATGAATAAATGGTACAGAAAATAAATACTATATAGAACAGGAGGTAAGAGAAGAAACAATCACCATCAACTGGAGTGTTCTAAATTTCTCTAATTTTATCACAGTCTCAAATAAGAATTCTCTTAACTCATTCCTTCTGTACCCCCATCAAAAACTAAATAAATTTAAAAAGTAACCTCAAAATTTTTCTGAAAGGTTAGTTGAAGTTGTGCCGACTGTGAAGAACTATAGTTTTTAGATAGGCTGTAAAGGTAGAAAGAGAAAAAGCTGATAGAGAAAGCTTGACAGTGATTGGAAGGGTAGAAAGTATATTTTACAGTCATACTTCAGTACTCGTCTGCTTTATAACTTGTCAAGCCCCTTACTCCCCACATTTTGACGAGGAAAAGTTTCAGCACTCGGCCCTTGCTCGGAACTTGTATAAGTCACCAGGCCCGCCCCATAAGAGAAAACGCTGCATAGTTCGGTACTCACCAGTTTCGGCACTCCTCAGAAGTTCCGGGACGAATTAATGATCAGTACCAAAGTACCACTTTATTTTTAAAAGTGAGAACAGACTTCAGACAGTCTATTGCTATCAATGTAATAAAGTGGGCACAAATCAACTGAAAAAATCAATTAGCTATAAATTATGTAAATTTCAGGACCCAAATTCTAAGCAATAAGTTAATTGTTTCTGTTTTTGTATTTGTGTGTGTGCTTAATCGCATACAAGGAAACCTCTGTGAAAACAAAGCATCAAAATATGTGTCTATCTGTAGAAATAGTACTGTCTCCCTTCTCCCTTGTGAGCATGGAGGAAATTTGTAGGTGAGTTTTTGCTGCTACAGTGATGGAGAGTAGGAGTAGGGGCAGAACTCCTGCAATGCCTGCCCAATAAAGGATCTCCCCCTCCTGTCAGACATTCAAGTAGGTGAAAAATTGGCTTAGAATAATTCGGAGTCTAGAACTTAATTTCATTTTACATATAAACATAGAACATTTTTGTTGTTGAGTTTTTGAAGAATGTAACTATTATGAAAATTTGAGAGAGAATTGTACTCTGCTTCATTCTGGAACTTTACCAAGTTATTCACCATTTCAGGAAATTATGTAATGGGAGGTAATACACATTGTATCTGAACTCCAATACAACATGCCTGTGTCTGCATTGTATAATTCTATTCATGGGGATTCTACATACATATACAAATACATTCATTTTGCCCTTATTTCAAACTTTCAAAGAAAAGAAATGGTCGATTAGATACAATTTTAGATATAATTTTACTTTTCTTATGTCTAAACATTTATTATAACTAGGTACAAATATTACTATTCCATTATGTTCTATAATGAAGTTATAACCACTTATATAGTGAAATAGTACATACAATTTTTTATATCATTTCTTTTATTTCTCCTTTGTATCACATGTATGACATTTAATCTTTCCTTTAAAATTCTCTGTAAGAAATACTTTCTAGGTGTTTGATAGGATAATAAAGGGTACTACAGAATATTTGTAATAAAATAGGGCACTAGGCTAGAAGGATCGAAAATCATTCTTTGCTTCTCCACTTTTCTACATACTCCATCTTGTAAGAGAAAAAAAAGCTTTAGTATTGAAAATATATCTATAAGAGCTTTGAATAACATCCATCTCAATATTGACTCTTCATCTTAATTCAGCATCCCTCCCTTCCCCCAAAAAGAGAGAGACATAAATACTGTAGTAATAGGCATGCTTACCAAACTGGAAATCTGGGTTTTGGAAAAATTCATGAAGAACATTCTGAATCTGTAAATCAATAAGAGCATATATTACTTCTTAATTAACATGTATTTAGTATTTTAGACTAAAGCCATCTATAATTCTTCAGTTTAAGTCCTAGGTAATCTTAATCCAGGAATGGTAATAATGAACACTTAGTTTATAGAATACTTCAAGGTATATAAAATGCTTTTACGTATATATCCTCAATGATTCCCATCGTTTTTGTGCAAAAATTACAATGCTCAGAGTAAGCCTATTTTGCCCCCTCCAGGGACATTTCTATCAACCCTTAGACATTGGGCATGATGGAGCTAAGGCACCTTTTTGGCAACCTACTTGCAACCCAAAGAACCCTCTAGAATTTCTCATTCCTAAATTACAAAAAGAAAAAAGAAAGAAATGTTGTCAGAGTTCTCCTTGGTGCACTTATTAAAAATAGTCTCTATTCTTTAGAGCAGTTTTAGGTTCATAGCAAAATTGAGCAAAAAGTACAGAGAGGTCCCATCTACTCTCTGCCAGCTACCACATACACAGCTGCCCCTATTATCAACATCCCCCACCACAGTGGTACATTTGTTATAATCAATAAACCATCATTGAGATATCATAACCCAAGGTTCTTAGTTTACATTTAGAATCATTCTTGGTGTTGTACATTCTATGGGTTTTGACAAATGTATAATGACATATATTCATCAATATGTTACCATACAGAATTGTTTTAGCACCCTAAAACCCCACTGTGCTCTGCCTATTTATCCCTCCTTCCCCTGTCACTCTTGGAAACCACTGATCTTTTAACTGCCTCCACAGTTTCAACTTTTTCAGAATATCATAGCCAACATATTGGAATCATGTTGCCCTTTCAGACTGGTTCCTTTCCATTAGTACTATGCACTTAATGTTCCTCCATGTCTATTCATAGTGTGATAGCTCATTTCTTTCTAGCACTCAATAATATTCCATTGTCTGATGTACCTCAGTTAATTTATCCCTTCATCTACTGAAGGGCATCTTGGTTTCTCCCAAATTTTGACAATTATAAATAAAGCCGCTGTAAATATCTATGTGCATGTTTTCGTGTGGGCATGTTTTTAACTCCTTTGGGTCAATACCAAGGAACATGATGGCTAATCATATGGCAAGAGTATGTTTAGTTCTATAAGAAACTTCCAAACTGTCTTCCAAAGTGGCTGTACCATTTTGTGTTCCCACCAACAATGAATGAGAATTCCTGTAGCTGCATGTCTTTGTCAGCATTTAGTGTTGTCAGTATTCTGAAATTTGGGCATTCCGTTAGGTGAGTAGTGTTATCTTGTTTTAATTTGTGTTTCCCTGATAACATATTTGTAGCATCTTTTAATATGCTTATCTGCCATCTGGATATCTTTGGGGAAATGTCTGTTTAGGCCTTTTACCCATTTTTTAATTGGTTGTTTGTTTTTGCTATTGTTGAGATTTATTAGTTCTTTGTATATTTGGGTTAATAGTTCTTTTTTAAATTTATCTTTATTTTAAAAAATATATTTTATTGATTATGCTATTACAGTTGTCCTGTTTTTTCCCCTTTATTCCCCTCCTCCCTGTACTCCCTTCCTACCATTATTCCCCCACCTTAGCTCATGTCCAGAGGTCATATATAAGTTCTTTGGCTTCTCCATTTCCTATACTATTTTTAACCTCCCCTTGTCTATTTTGTACCTCCCATTTATGCTTCTTGTTCCCTGTACCTTCCCCACCATTCTATCCCTCTCCTGCTGATGGCCCTCTATGTGATCTGTTTCTGTGACTCTGTTCCCATTCTAGTTGTTTGCTTAGTTTGTTTCTGTCTTTGTTTTTTAGGTTCGGTTTTTGATAGTTGTGACTTTGTTGTCATTTTACTGTTCATAGTTTTGATCTTCTTTTTTTTCTTAGATAAATCTCTTTAACATTTCATGTAATGACTTGGTGATAACGAACTCCTTTAACTTGACCTTATCTGGGAAGCACTTTAATTGCCCTTCCATTCTAAATGATAGCTTTGCTGGATAGATTAATCTTGGATGCAGATCCTTACCTTTCATGACTTCAAATACTTCTTTTGAGCCCCCTCTTGCCTATTAGGTTTCTTTTGAAAAATCAGCTGGTAGCCTTATGGGAACTCCTTTACAGGTAACTGTCTCCTTTTCTCTTGCTGCTTGTGGGATTTTCTCTTTGTCTTTAATCTTGGGTAACTTAATGATGATGTGCCTTGGTGTGTTCCTCTTTGGGTCCAACTTCTTTGGGACTCTCTGGGCTTCCTGGGCTTCCTGGAAGTCTATTTTCTTCACCAGATTGGGGAAGTTTTCCTACATTATTTGTTCAAATAAGTTTTCAATTTCTTGCTGTTGTTCTCCTTCTGGCACCCCTATGATTCGGATATTGGAACATTTAAAGTTGTCCCAGAGGTTCCTAAACCTCTCCTCATTTTTCTGAACTCTTGTTTCTTCATTCTTTTCTGGTTGAATTTTTATTTCTTCCTTTTGCTCCCAACCATTGATTTGAGTCCCAGTTTCCTTCCCTTCACTGTTGGTTCCCTGTACATTTTCCTTTTTTTTCACTTTTTGTAGACTTCACTTTTTCCTCTATTTTGTGACCATACTCAACCATTTCTGTGAGCACCCTGATTACCAGTGTTTTGAACTGCGCATATCTGTTGAATCTGTTGGCTATCTCTTCATCACTTACTTGTATTTTTTTCTGGAGCTTTGATCTGTTCTTTCATTTAAGCCATATTTCTATGTCTTGGCATGTGTGTTAGGTAGTAATGGGTGGAGCCTTAGATATTGACCAGATGGGGCGATCCACTTGGTTGTATTGTGGTGCTGTGTACGGGGGGGGGGAGGTCGAGAGGGAAAAATGCCACTTGCTTAGTTCCCAGCCAGTTTTCCTGCCAACTCCTCAGTCACTTCCTCCACTTCCCACAAGCAAATTGGGCCCTTCTGGTGCTGATTCCCAGGTGGGTGGGTTTGTGTACATTATAGGACCCTTTGGTCTCTCCAACAAACTCTCCTGTGAGCCTGGGAGTTTCTCCCACCACTCCCCAGAGGTTTTTTGAGTCAGAGGTTTCGAGGCTTTCTTTTTCCCCATGCTGGAATCCTGGATTATGCACTCATTCCTCCTGGTATATACACACACAAATGTGGGACCACCTGGTTCTGAGAGCTGCTGCCTCATCTACTTGGTCCTCCAGCCACTGCCCTACTGGGAGTCTTCTCTGCCCATGCTGCCTGTGTCTGTTCCCTTGTCACTTTCAAAGTAGGCATCTTGGAACCTCACACAGTTCTCCCAATTGCAACATGATGTTCCTTCTGTTCTGGTAGCAGAAGCTGTGGAATGAATTTTGTCACAACATGTTTCATGCCAAGATCCTGCATCAAAATCTTGGACACAGGAGTTTTTGGAATGCTTCTAGTTCTTTCACTGTCAGTCGCTGATCTTTGTTAATTGTAGCCCATATACATTCAACATTCTCAGGTGTTCTGCTTGTTGCAGGCCTTCCCGAGCATGGGTCACTTTCAACAGATTCTCAGCCATCTTTGAAGCATTCATGCCACATTTATTTACATTGTACTCATTGCATCATCCCCCCAAAACTTCTGAATCAATACAATATACAGATGATATATTATTTTACAACTGTATACCTGAAACTTACTTACTTTTATTAACCAGTGTCACTCTAATAAATTCAATTAAAAATAATTCATTTTGAATAGTTTCTATGGATGAATATTCAAGCTTACAGCAAAATTTGATGCAGATTCATTGTTCTACTCTCTCAGTCATTTTGAACTTAACAGCCACACAGTATACATGCTCAGTGGCATCTACCAACCCCAATGACGAGCACAGTGAAATTGTCATTGTTCACACATGCACATTTCAGTCCACTGCTAGGTTATATTAGTGTTGTGCAAAGTATTCTCATTATATTAACCATGGCTGGACTTTTTCCGGACATACCTCATATACCTAAGAGAAAATATTTAACTCTTAGAATACAGATGTCTTCTGGAGCTAAGATTGTCTCTTAGCCCACAGAAGTAATTAGTCACATGCATACAAAAAACAAGTGAAAGCTATGTCTGTATATATGATTTACAGATATATATCTTATATATTATATATGTATATATCTTATATACTGCATATCAAAATACATATCAAGTATATTCTATAATACATATGATATGTGTACGTATATATCTTATATAACACATATATCAATATGTAGGTATATATATATATATATCAATATGTATATATTATATACGACTGAGCTAAATTCTTCTGTAATGAAGAATTTAGGAGCCTCAGCCAGAGTCAATATATTTTAGAACTCTAACTTAGAATTTTTTAAAATACTAAGAGAAAAATTAGAGAAATCTACTCTCAGGGACTAGATGTGCCAACAATTGACTTACCTTAGCAGGACTGAAAATTTAGAGGCAGGTTTTTAGCACTCCACTTAGTATTCCAGTAATCACCCTCTTATTTTCTACCCCACCTAACCTTCACATGCACCCCCTTTCTTACCACTGTCATAGGAATCATTCCTTTGGGGTCTACAATCCATTCATTGAACTGTTCCTGGAGAGTCTGTTTCCGTGTGTTGGCCACCTTGACTTTGAGATCGTTTATGCTTTCTCTTTGTTCTTTTCTCTCTTTAATCTTCTCCTTCATATTGGATACTCTTAAGGATGTAGAAATAGAAGATATGTTGAGTTAAGACCTTTGAATTTGATTCAGATTGTTCAAATGGCAGAAGAAAAGAGTTCAGAGCATAATATAAACTTTGTTTCTGTCTTTTCTCCATGAAATTGGCCTTGATTCGAGCCTGTAGTGCATTAATCATGGGCTGCCTTCTACTATTATTAGACTTTTTATAGAGGTAGGCCTTATTTTACCTCCCTAAACACTATACTTAAGAAGTACTAAGAACAGCCCTGGAAGCTGCCACATATACACAAAAAGCAAAGTTGAATGTACTAAGGCCTTAAGGTGGTAGGCCTCTCTCTTCCCTGGATGCAGAAATCATGTGAAATGATTCTGATTCAAGGTCTAGGGTGGGAGCCTCTCAGGTAATTCTGATGCCTTTGAACAAACTTTTGGTTTCTGTCTAGGAATTTATATTGCCAGTTTCCTTTATTCAGACAGAATTACAGGCCCTGAGCATAATAGTTACCCTTGTCCTTGGCCAGAGCTGTATTACCCAGGTAGAAAATGGGGAAAGAATTGTGATTTTAGTTGTTTCTATGTTTATCATTCCTATTAGCATTTCAAACCCCCCAGACTGGTTTTGATTGAAACACCAAAATGGCTCAGAATAATAAAAAGTTTTACCATAACCCAAATGGTTCAGTGGCTTGAACACTGTCCCATAAACTGAAAGATTGCTGGTTCTATTCCCAGTCAGGGCACCTGTGTAGATTGTGGGCCAGGTCCCTGGTTGGGGGCATGTGAGAGGCAACTGATCAATGTTTCCCTGGGGCATCAATGTTTCTCTCCCTTTCTTTCTCCCTCTCATCCCCTTTCTCTAAAATAAATAAGTAAAATATTTTTAAAAAATAGCTGCTAGCTTCAAATACAATTTTCTAATAATGTTTAAGGTAGGTCTCCAACTTTCAGAGAAGAAGGACTAGGGTTCTCCTACAGATTTTAAAATGCAAGAGAATTTTCAGTAAGAACTGGTGATATAAATATCAACAACAACAATAATAATAGTAATAAACAACTCTAAAATCTAAGTCATTACTTTATGTCCATGTAAGGCCTTCATAATTCCCTGGGAAAATAAGCCTTCACAAATAAACTTTGAAGTTTGAAACCCAAAATAGGCAAGTGGTTTAAAAGCTTAGAAGGATCTGTTTCTGAACTGCTGGAAGATTAATTAGTATTTTAAAGGAAGTGCTAGATTCCTCCAATACAACTGCTGAGCAGCCAAGCCTCTACCACTGATCTCAGAGCCCCCAGATCCCTTCCTCTGCTGGCTCTTCAGCTCTCCCTATACCCATTCTCCCTCTGCTGCTTTATCTGTGTCTCCCTCTCTCTGCTTCCCTTTCTGTTGCCTCTCTCTCCTTCTCCATAAAGCAGTCTCCTAAATTTCTGTCTTCATTCCTGCTTGACTCTCTATTCTGTGTCTTCTAGATTTTTCTCATTATTCACTCACTTGCTAAGTCAGTCACTTTCTCACTCATTACACAAACATTTATTGAGCACCTGTTATGGATTCTGCTATTATAAAGCTTAGAGCCCAATGCAGAACAGTGAAGTAAACAATATTGTGCAGCAAGTACTGAGTGTCTCCAGATTCTTATGCATATTGATCACTGCACCACAAAAATGGATCAACAAAATTGGGTTTCTGTCATATTTCCATCTGCATGAAATACTTTTATCCCTGTCTTTGGTTTATTAGACCCTCCACATCTTTTATATCTCAGCTCAGATGTCATTTCCTTCCATTTATTAATGACCACATTTAGAAAGAAAACCTAGTTTTGTGCTTCAGGGCTACTGTATGTGAGACTGAAAATATAATGTAAATGACTTTAAATTGATTATGTAACTAATTCAAGGAATGAATAAAATTTCTTTCCTGTGACCTGCATTATCTTATGATGACATCCACATCAATCAACAAAATTCCAAGCATCCAAAACACTTAACTTTGGGCAGTGTAGAGGAGACATAAACTGCAAGCAGTATGAATATAAGTATAAATCCACATTTAAGGATACTGGATAGGAAAATAAAACTAGTATGGTAAAATGCAAAAATGGGCACAAATTCTTCTCATTCCTGTATCCATGTGTGTTTGTATGCAATGTAACTTTGCAGCTCCTCCCATTAAGAGGTGGAGTCTATTTCTGTACCCTTGGGTCTGGCTGTGGACTTGTGACTTGCTTTGGCCAATGGACCATTAGCCAATATATACAAGAAGAAAGTTGAAAAATTCTATCACATTAAAGCTGAAAAAGAAAAAGGAAAAAAACATGCTTGAATTTTGAGGCCCTCTTTTTGAACTTAGGAGCCCTGCCACCACCACCTTGGAAATGAGCCTAGATTAGTCTGCTCGATAATGATCCAGTTACCTCCATTGCTTTTGCTAACAGCCAACTAATAGATAAGTGATTAAGGCTATCAATTGACAATATACTGCAATGCATGAGTAAGTCCAACTGATACCATGTGGAGCAGAGAAGAGCCATGAGCCCAACACAAAGTTACCAGCCCTCAAAATGATGAGTAAATAATGATGATTGCTTTAAGCCAGAAAGTTTTGAGGTATTTTGTTATGCAGCAAAAGCTAACTAATAAAAGTTCCCCCATCTTAACAAGTGTTTTGATATCTTTTAAAGAAAGAATGTAGTATAAATCTAACTAATTAAAGAGAGAAGTAAGTTTCCCTACCCTAATTGTAATGATCCAAATTCCACCTATCCATTCAAGCTGTACAAGGAAAATCCTCCACTTACAGAAGAATTTTGCCTAAATATACCAAAACTAAGCATTGTGTTTCATCAAAACTGGTTCCAACCAGCTTAAGTGGATAGCTGATCTTGAACTTTGAGTGACCCAGTTTACTAGACCATTACTGGACCTAACCGAACATTCTTTCTTGACTGCTGAACAATGGAACTTGTTTTAATCAATCATGTACACACTTTGGACTCACTCTGTCCTATACACTGTGACAATTACCAGTTGCTGTAGTATAACTATTATGATGCTCCTTTCCTAATACCTAAACACCCCTGATTTTTCCTCTTCTGCAAACTATTTGGTGACATCTTCACTGGTCTGTATTCACTTGCCTAGCAAGTTAATAAACTCTGTTTATTTGTTTTTAAGCTCTGGAGGTCTTAGTTTCACAAAGCTAAACTAGACTTCTTGGTATTCCTAGAGCACATCCGTATTATTCTTGAGATGAGTATTCCTCTAAAAACCCACATATGACTTGTGTCTATTTAGTTATTATATTTAATTATTATTTTCTTTTTGTTTATTGAACACAGATCTTACTATGAAATAAAATTCCTAACAGAAGGTGTAATGACTTAAAAATCTAAGTTACTGGTTAATCAATGATATTTGAACAAATAATTAGGCTTATTTGGAATTTTAGAAAGTGATGGAATTTTATAAAATATTTATCATCACCTCCCCATTAAATACTGATGATTAATCCCACAGATTTCAACATTAGTCAATTATCCCACATTAAGACATATCTTATAATAATTTATGTATGTAAAAAAACCCAAACTAACACACAGAAGAATTTACATCACAAGAACAAAAGCTAGATTATAATTTAGTATTCGAACTCTTAAGGATTGGTAGGATAGGTATAGAGGAAGAGGAGTGATAACAGGCAGAGGATGGCATGTGTAAAGATCCTCAGGTGGAAAGAAGAACTTTGAAGAACTGAAAGAAATCCTGTGTGCTTGGAGTATAGAGTATAAGAATGAGAGAGGCAGGAGCCAGGAATAGGGAGAAAATTAGGGACCAGGTCATACAAAGAAGTTCTTATGGGGTAAAGATTTTGGTTTTTATCCTAAAAATAAAGATTTGAAATCTTTCACATTGGAGAAAACACGATAAGATTCATCTTTTTTAAAAAATTACTTCAGATAGAGGTAAAGAATAGATTGAACTGGCTGGTGTGGCTTAGTGGATTGAGCGCCAGCCTATGAACCAAAAGGTTGCTGGTTTGAATCCCCATCAGGGCACATGCCTGGGTTGTGGGCCAGGTCCCCAGCTGGGCATGTGCAAGAGTAAACCAACTGATGTCTCTCTCACACATTGATGTTTCTTTACCTCTCTTTCCCCCTCCCTTCTCTCTAAAGGTAAATAAATAAGTAAAATCTTAAAGAAAAAAAGAATAGGTTGGAAGAGGGCAAGAGTGGATGTAAACATACCAGTTAGGAGACTGTTGCAACAGCTTCAACTAGGATAGCCACGGTGGGGAAGGTCATAAATGAACAGATTAGAGAAGAGATAAAAATAAACAGGACTTAATGATTAACTGGAAGTAAGCTATAAGGAAGCACAAGGTGTCAAGGTTGATCTTTGGTCTTTGGGCTTGAGAATCTAGATGGATAACCAAACAAGACAAAGGCCCTGCCCGGGTGTCTAAGTTAGTTGGAGTGTCCTTCTATACACCAAAAGTCTGCAGGTTCAATCCCAGTCAGGGAAAATATGTAGGTTGCAGGTTCAATCACCAGTCAAGGTGTGAGCGGGAGGCAACCGATTGATGCTTCTCTTTCACAACAATGTTTCCCTCTCTTTCCCTCCCTCACCCTTCTTCTTTCTCTAAAATCAGTTAAAAAAATTCTTGAGTGAGAATAAATAAATAAGACAATGATTTATCAAAAGTGAGGTATTTGTGAAACATCCAAGTGCAAATTTTGAATAGATAATGGCATATACTGGTCTGGAACTAAAAAAAAAACCCACACACAAAAAAATCACAAGGTGTTTGGGCTAGAGCTCTAAGTCATGAATGTATAGGTCATAATTGAAGTCACGTGTTGGAATGAGAGCACTCAGGGATGGATTATGGAGCAATAGGAGAATGACATAGGAGTGATGGCACCATACCTTAATGAACCTTGATCTTTAAAGGTCAGGTAGCAGAAAATAAGCCAGGTCTTATTTTGAGAAGGACTAAACAGAGGTGGAAAGAAA